CCACGGAGGATCCGCCATGGCCTCCTGAGTCCCCTGATCCGCCATGTTCTCCTGAACTGCCTGTTCCGCCATGGCTCCCGGAGCTACCAGCTCCGCCATGGCAACCTGAACTGCCTGCTCCACCATGGCTCCCGGAAGAGCTCCGCCTCAGACACAGATAGAAAGCAGACCAGATGTCAGAGGAAGCAGGATAGCTAAAATATTTTTGAAATTTTTTTTTTATGTAAACAAACAAGCATGTAAACACAATGGGCAGTATTGCATCACCAAAACTTATCGTGGTCATGTCCATATTTCGTACGATAAGTCAATATAGTAATTATCGCGACAGGCCTAGCATCAACAACATTTTTTCCCGCTCTTCTCATATATGGCCCTTAGAGGACATGAAGAGACAAAGACATTCTAACTCCGAGATGCCCAAACTAGGGCCCGCGGGCCCAAGTTTGGGCATCTCTGAGTTAGAGTGTCTTTGTTTCTTCATGTCCTCTAAGGTTTGTAGGCCTTTTCCTCAAGCAGTGTCAGCAGGCAAGTTGTAATGCCAGTCCTGGGTCACATCTATTGAATGACACTAAGAAATGACAAAATACTCTTAAGTTTAAATGTTTACATTTACCTTTATGAATATAAAAAGTGAAAGACATTAAAAGTTTACCGGCAATGACTTATTTCTGATGGATCCTGGGTGATATTGGCAATATATTTGGGATTTATCCAGCTTCCGTACTCTGCATGAGATGATCAGTACTACAACACATCCAAAAGTTTTCTCTGTGTACAACACTTTATGTAAAATTAAGAGTAACCATGATTTGGTCCTCATCTTCCATTACCTAGATAAAAATTATAATTATTATGAGCACAATTTACACTACTATTGGCTTTACTGCCTTACTAATAACGTAAATAGTTAGCTACTAGTCAAAATAGCTCGGTGATGGCTCGTTGTTAGCGAGTTAAGTAGTACTAAAAGTCTCATAGCAATTGTGAGGTGATTGTTAGAGATTCAACTGCCATATATAAAATTTTTAAGCTTTTTGCGAGATATTAATTGTTAACAATCCTGACAACATAGATTTGTAAAAACCGCTCCAAACATACTTGCTCGCTGACCTACAGATGGCATTTAGTTAACAAGCTAACTATTTTTGGCTGACAAGCAACGGAGACAACATGTTAATAAAGGTTAAACGAACATCTAGTGCTTCCTGGACAATTAACACAAAACATTCTTTGGCTAGGCTGAGAAATATAACTATTAAAATTAAATTCAGTCACCTGAGACAGACTGCCGCATTTCTGACTGGCCTGGCGGCTGAAAAATAGCGGCACTTTCATGCAGCGTGTTAACTAGCTTTTAAACATTTTTCAACATGCTAAATAGATTAGATCGCTGAAGTAGCCGTTTTTTGTTCGATATATAAGTAGACTTATTTGCAAAAATATTCCTTTTATTTCATTAAATAATGCTAGGGTAGAGTGGGGGGAAACGCCCCCTTAAGGACTTTGTAATTTTTTTCTTTGAAACAAAAGTTAAATGTGTCCAGAATAGCTATCATAGTTTTAGTGACAATGAAAAGTGAGTAAAAAGGTCATAGAGGTGGGGGGAGGTGGATGGGGTGGAATATAAGAATAGCTCTAAGAAACAAAGTTCTGTCATGACAACTCTCGGAGGGATTGGCATGGTAATGTACATGACAATGTTAATGTATTTGGTCTTGGCAGAATAGATCTGCTACGCTGCTGCTGCGGCAGAGCAAGTACCGAGACTTGCTACTGCCAATACATCCACAACATGCTGCTGTGAGCATG